GAGAGAGAGAGAGAGAGAGAGAGAGAGAGAGAGAGAGAGAGAGAGAGAGAGAGAGAGAGAGAGAGAGAGACCAAAGAACCCTTTCACATTACTCAGAGAAACCCTGCTGGTTCTCCAAAAGGCCCCTGCCAAGAATTAGCAAGGGTTTCCTCGCCAAGAAAAGGGTAGTTGTCGTTGGACTTGTAGTAAGGCTGTAGCAGGCCAAGTTGTGGCCAACTATATATGGTGTAGCTTCGAGTTCAGGTCCGTGTTTCAGCAGTTATTGGTTACTAACTTACTAACTCGGCATGTGATTTTCAGGGCTTCACTCCACTACTCACCAAATGTGCAAAACTAGAGTGAATCTTCTGCTAGAAACTGGAACCATACGTCGCCATATGCTTTGTCTTTTGTGCAAGCGGTGACTAGTGGAGTGACGCCCTTACGGCCACTGCACGTAAGAGAGAGCTACTGTAGTAGGATTAGTAACTAACCCATAACTTCTGGAACACAGACCTGAATTCGAATCTAGATTCCAGACTATATAGTATACATATTGCTGGCCTTCTCGAGTTCCACCAGCAATCGATGAACGCTCCAAAGAAATGGGACCCTTGGTAATTCTGGGCTGGTGGCCCTTTGGAAGAGACAATGGATCCAATGAGTACGATGTGGCCCCAATTTTTTTTCTTCTGTGCACTTACGGTTTTCAGAAGGAAGGGGCACATTCGACTAGCACAGCCTGGCCTTTTTTAATATTTTAATCTGCACTTGCGCCGCATCAAGTGCGCGCACATATGTGTGTGTGCGCTATGCGCCGCACGTCCGCAACTTGCGCGCACGTGATGCACCGCATGCAAGATTTTTTCCTTTTCTTTTTTTTGCTGTTGGTTTATCTGGTGTCCACTCTATGGACTGGTGGCAAGTCTGGCTTAAAAGTTGCACAGAGTTTATTATAAGCGCTTTCTTATAAGGATGTTATGACAGTCTGAGATAATGCACTGCATCTTTTGCACTACTTGTCCAGGTGGGAATGTGTTGTGGAGCATGTCAAAAGATTACCGAAAGAGAAACGTGCCAATGGACACTAAAGGAACAGAAACCCAAGGACGGATGCATAATATTGCATGCTTCAGCACTTCACACATACTCTGAAAAGCAAAAAATAGCAAACGGAACCCATTTAGACCTTGTAAAGAGGTGCACAGCATTGCATACCTCAAACAAAAGAGAAAGCAGCTGCCCAGAAAGCTCCAGCCTTTTGTTGCCAACATAGTCCTACCATAAAGAACAATAAACACACAGAGAGCACAGCTGAGTAATGTAATGTAATTCATGTTAATGAATTACTGATCCCAGAAGTTCAATAGGTCCATCAACACCGTCGCATTCATAAAACAGCACTGAGAGCATAAAAAGCAGCATGTCAGAAGACTAAGAAGTCTAAAACTCTTTGACAAACACATTCCCATAACCGCATTGTCTTTCATTACAACCGCATAAACTTGCACACACACAGGCACATACTCAGAGGGTCACCCTGCCTTTGTGGAGTTGTGTTTAGCAAGGGCAACACACACACACACACACACACACACACACACACACACACACACACGTACACACACGCACACACACGCGCGCGCGCGCGTGCACAC